ATATCAGTCAGTCAATTTTTCGCACGTCCTGCTGTAAAATCCGTATATATTTCATTAATTGCAACCAGAAATAACACAAAAACTGTTCGTTTTTTTCAAAAAATTTCTAGATGGCCTTTTTTAAAGAGCTAATTTTGTACAACAGCCTTTTCGTGAAGAAAAAAAACATCTTCAATTTTGTAGACATGCATTTTTGTAATTTTCGAAAAAATTTAAAAAAAAATTCCCGAAAATAAGACTGGCGCTTATTATTTACCGTCCTTATTACGTACGTAGAGAAAATGAAAATAAAAAATTAGGACGAATTTTGAGATTTTTTTGTAAATTTCAATCGCAAAATACGCAAAAACCACTTTTTTTTTTCAAAAAGTTGAACATGACCTCTTTTGAAGAGGTAATTTTGTGCAACAGACTTTGTCTCGGGCAAAAATCTCTATCTTCGATTTTGTAGTTTTAAATTTAAAAAAAGAAAAAAAAACAAGTAATACCAGAAAATATTACTAGCGCCATATTTTTACCGTATCTTATTATGTAAGTGAAGAAAATGTAAAAAAAAAATGTTGAGCGGCTTTTGAGAAATTTTGTTATAAATTTCAATCGCAAAATAAAACTTAGTTTTTTCAAAAAAATTATACATGATATTTTTTAAGAGCTAATTCTGTACAAACATTTCTATCTCCAATTTTCAAGTTTTAATTTTTTTTTCCGATTTTCGAAAAATCGCGGATGTCAACCAAAATTAAACCTGCGCCAACCTCGTAAACCTCCGTTGCACTATGCAACAACACACTTTAATCAAAAAATTAGGAGCCATTTTTTTTAAAACTTTCAAATGGCCTACGGGCTTTACGCAAAGCATCCCCATAATTAAAATTTCGGTTTCAAATTCCAGAGTCCGCGTCCATATATATATATATTTATATATATATATATATTAAATATATATATATATATATATATGGACGGTGTTCAGCTCGTCATCAGATGTAGAATATCGATGGTGTCCCTGAAGATTTTAGAATAAACCGCGCCTGGAATACCCTTCAAATAGTAATAAGCCTCTAACGCCCACACAGCAGTACACAGTACTCGATAGCTCTAAGTTTTGGGCTACAGGACTTTTCATCTTGTGGTCGGCATTTGCAATGAAATGTTGATATTCGCAGAATACTCTACTTCCAGCAGTGTTTTAAGATGTGTAATGCGTGAGTCAAGGACTATGTTGCGGGAATATTGCGGGAAATGTGTAATATTTAAAAAAATAAAAAAACATTAATAATTCAAAAACAACTCCCAAATTTGCCTTCAACCATTTGGTGGAGATAACTGTAACATGACATAAATGCCATTCTGCTTGTGTGTTTTCTTTTCTTTCAAAAATTACAAAAAAGAATTATTTTTTTACATCTCTCATGGTGATATTTACATTTTTGGCAATTTTTAAACATTACTGCATTTATGAGAGTACATGTACTTCAAATTATACCTTATAAAGTTTCACAAAAATTCAAAACTTTTCAGTGAAAATTATCTCAAAATTTCGCATTTTCAAATACAATCAAACGCCATTTTTACGAAAAACGATTCCAAACTTTTTCTACAAACGTTTTGTACGGATAGAGGTAAATGTACAGTTTAAGATGACAATGGCAAATTGTTGTATTCTTTTGATTCTTTTAAAAAATGTGCAATTATTCATTTTTTTAATTATTTCTCGCGTCAGTAATAATTTCACTTGATTTGTAAACATTATTGCATTTTTGAGTAAGAGTACCTCAAATAACTTCAAATAAAAAATTCTTGAAAACTGAAAACTTTTCTGTGAAAAAGAACTTCAGATTTCAGATATACAGTAACGCTTAAACATTTTCTCAAAAATGGATCCATATTTTTCAACGAAAAATTCCATTTACGACGAGGTTTTACTCTCCTGTAACACCCTTGAAGTAAAATTTGAGTTCTACCATTAGGAAACCAAAAAATTGAATTAAAAAGAAAGGCAAGACAGAAAGAAAAAAGGACTTTGTGTGGTAAGAGATGGCAGCTGGCAAAAGAATTGGACAAGACCAAAAAGCTAACCCACACCCAAGATATTAGAAATCTAAGTAGTAAAAGAATGTCTGTGCCATTCCGTAGCACCAGTAGTTCTATTTATATGGTACTTGGCCTTTCTACCTATATGAATTATTGTATTCACTATATATGCATTTATAGTGCCTGTGACTGTGATACATTCGATTCGTATATGTCATGTATATCAACTCGTCTATCACTCACATTGAAATCTTATTTCAATTTATTTATTTTATGTCAAAAACAGTTAAAAACTTTGTAGGACATGCTATGGGGAGAAGTGCATTCTGTGCACATTATCTTAATCTGGGATCCCTATAGCGATGTACTGAAATATATCTATTAACATGCCCATGTTTTTTCATCAAAACATCACCACAATAAGTCCATTTATCAATTTTCAGGGCATGGACTTGTGCTTGGATATGCTCCATATGAAAATCATTGGACAAAATTGTGAAGAATGGTTAAAAATGGTAAAATAAAAATTCTATACCTAAAAATTAAAAATCATGAGCATTTGTGTTGATTAAACAAAATTATGTTCTACTTTATTTACATAAACAAGAAATATTGAAGGGCACCCCCCTCACACACAGCACTCCCACAGAGAGAGAGCGAGAGAGAGAGAGAGAGAGAGAGACAGACAGACAGACAGAGAGAGAGAGAGAGACAGACAGAGAGAGAGAGACAAACAGAGAGAGAGAGAGACAGAGAGAGAGAGAGAGAGAGAGAGAGAAACAGAGAGAGAGAGAGAAACAGAGAGAGAGAGAGAAACAGAGAGAGAGAGAGAGACAGACAGACAGAACAAGAAACTATATTATTAATTTGAATAATTATTTCCACCTGTTTATTGCCTTCTTAATTTTTTTATTGCACTATGAACACTTTTCTCCATTTCAGTTTATAATGCCTTCTCAGAAGTTCCCTGTTCACATTTATTATGCTAGCTTCCTCCTCACGAACTTCTGCACTCAATTCAACTTGCTGAAGTTTCTGGGTCAATTTTTGTGGCAAATATCATTTTATTACACAACTTCTACTATTATTATTAAACATTAGTTCCTTACTTTTTAACACACAGCCAAAGCCAAAATGTTCTCTTTCAAACCTTTTCTTTCCCCCCCTTTTTTTAAATTTATTTATTTATTCATTTATTTCCTTTTTCTTTCTTTCTCAAAGCTTCCTTTCTTCTTTTTTCATCTTCTCACTG